GGCGGCGGGCCGGGCTCGCGGGTACCCGCGGAGAGGGGAAGAGGGACCTGCTTGCGGGGGCGTGGAGGGTGAATGACCGCAGCCTCCCCAAGACGCGGGCAAGGACACCGCTTTCCCACCGGTTCCTCTTCCCCCGACACATTCGGGGCAGCTGGCGTGGCGGCTGGGGACGTGGGTGTGTATCCGCATTTGCCCTGGGCCCCCTGTGATTTTCTTAGTCACACAAGTTGGCAAAGCAGCATCTGCCGTGGACCAGCCCTGGTCGCTGGGAGCAGGGTGCAGAACCGAGGAAAGGTTACAGAGCAAAGGGATGGGAGGATCCTGCTTCCCCATGCAGCTGCGAACGCAGGCAGGTGTGTGAGCTTCCCCTGACACCCAAGGTGCAATTCAAGGAGCTGCCAGAACCTCAGCAAAGGGTGGAGGCCCAGGGATCCGGCTGTCTCCTTGCTTTAGCCTGTCATTGAGCGCCTGTGTGCGGGACCGAGCAGCGGTCTGCCTACGCTGTGCTGTACCGGAGCAAAGGGCGCCAGCGAGGAGCGGGAGTTGGGCTGCACCAAGTTGCAGCTGTTTATTTTTTGACTGTGGTGATTCAGCCTGTGTTCCAATAGTGTCATAAGCCATAATCCATCCCGCAGCTTTCCTTTCCTCGCCCTGCTCCAGGCACACACACACCATCCCGGGTATAGTTTTAGAGGGTGGGAAACGAGAAACCAAGCCCCAATTAACTTTATGGGCTGAGCTGCCTCGATCTGTCCACCCTGTTATCCAGTTATCAGTTCACCAATGAAAAGCAAAAGTCCAGAGACGGCTTAGAAAGTGGAGTGGGAGATGCAGGGAGGGAGCTAGCAGTTAAAAGTAGCAGGGAGCTGCTTGTAAGCTTAGAAATCAGGGACGGGTTGGTCGGCTTCGTGTTTTTCTGAGCAGTTGGTCAGCCCGGAGCTCCCCGGGATGGGGGGACAGAACCTGAACCAGTGACAGTCTGATGTCCCAGGAGGCAGCTTATCTTTCGACTCTTGTGTTCAGGGTAGGGAGGCCAGGGTGGGCTGTTCACCGGAAGACGGGTGTGTCCCTCCTCCCCATTCCATGGAAGAGGAAGGAGTAGTCGTGGAACTGAGCTCAGGGGAACTCTGCCTCCTCTGGTGACACAGTTACAAAACCTGTTGCCACCCTTCCTTTTAAATCCATGACTCTGATGGTTTCCAAGGACAGAGGTGGACAGGGAAAGGCCAGGCAGTGCCCGTGCTACTTGGAATTCATTTCCCTGGTTCCATTGTTGTCTTATAAACGCTGTCAAACCATTGCTCACAAATTCATGTATCATCTGAAAACATAACCACCCTTTTCTAACACGTACAAGAAATGAGCCACCGGTTGTCACCGCCCCTGTCCCCTACACACATGGTGATTCTTATGGAACTGTGCATTAAAAAAAATTGGGAGGGCTTATGAATTTAGTACGAGCCCCCCCCCCCACACACACAAACAAGCTGCTCCTGGAGTCTCAGCTACATAGCCGTCTCCCTTCGAGGCAACTCAGTGAGTGGTTGGCGTCTCTGTGCTCTTTAACTTGGGTGACCAAAGGTTCCGTGCACTGGTTACATCGCAAGACGGAGAGGAAGAAGCACTGGGCCCATCCCCCTCCGGCACACCTGCAGCTGGCTGCAGCTGGCTGGCTGGGGTCCGAGCACACTGACTGACCTTGGTGGCAGAAAAGGTGGCATTTAAACAGCTTTTTTATTTCATCCAGATCCTGTTGCCCCCTCCCCCGCCTCTCCCACCTCAAAAGTGTGTTTGACTTTGCTGCCACCTGTGCTCAGCAGCCAGCCTGAGTGCCTGTTTGATTCCTGCCACTTTGGTTTTCCTCCAGTCTCTGCCGAGTCTGCTCTTACCCACATGGGGCCCCCTCTCCTTCCACTGCAGCAGGGTCAGTAACTAAGTAACAAAACCTTGCCCCCCCCCAACGGACGGGTGGGGAAGGAGAGATAACCTTCCACTGGCTTGTTTGATATTTTACAGCAATTAAATAACACTTTTTCCCCTTTCAACACTTATCAGAGGTACAACAGGCAGCAGGAAATTAAGAACAGGGGCAGGACAAAGGGCCAGGCCAATGCTCTCTGCTCACTCTTTCTTTGAGAAGTTCTCAGCCTGGGAGCTCTGCTGTGAAGACATCAGACTCCCCAGGAGGTCACTAATGTCTCTTGGTTTAAATGGGAGAAATTGTTACTTTGCAGTCAATTCAGTGGAAGTAAATACTGCAGTTAAGCGGAGAAGAAAGTTGTGGGGTGCAGAGCTAGACCTGGCTGGGTGTGTTAGATGCCAATCCAAGCAGCCAGTGTGGTTTTTTATTACCTCCATGGGAATGCTAAGCATGAGGGTCGTCGTTTTTGTTGATGGGAAAAGAGCAATGCTCCTGTTGCTTGGCATGTTGGGTATACAGAGGGCGGGAAGGCATTTGGCACGGTAGCTACACTACCTGGGCTTCTGGTAACATTCCTGTTTGCAGCTATTCTGTCCCTTGTCTCCCATCAAGCCATCTGCATTCTACCAAAATCGAAAGGTCAACTTCCACATTCCGAGATGGCAGCTTACACCAGATGGTATTGAAAATTCTTTCTGATATTGTGGGGCTGGTGTTTGGTTTAGAAAATATGGATGGTGGTCACCATAGCTCTGTTTAAAAGCATGCCTTTCTGGTATAATGGGTTTTTAATGGTCTCTTCAAATGCCCAGAGGTTGATATGAGCTCTCCTCTCCCCTCTCCTCCCCTCTCCTCTCTTCACCATCGCTTGATGTCTAGTAGTCTGGCTGGGCACATTATTACTTTTTCTCTATTAGCATCCTCAATCCTCAGGGAACACATGGGCTAAGGGGTGAGCAGACATTTCAACCTCTCTGGAAACAACACCCAAATAATCTAGAGTTAGGGATCAAGAACTACTAGATGTTACTCCTTTTGGTCTTCCCTCCTTCACTATGGGAGAAAGGTACATACAGAGAGCCGGAAGAGACCTTACACATTCTCAGGTTTGTACACCCTACCCTGTCATTATGCAGCTGAAGATGCTAGGCTCTGCGAGGCCAGGTGACGTGCCCAGGACCACCTCGTTAGGAGGCGGAAGAGACAAGAGTTGAATCAGCTTCTCAGGATTGCAGATTCATGCCCTCTCCACGGGGATACCACCCTCATGGGCTGTGAAAGCTGGGTGAGGAGAGGGAGACCCAGCATGTATCTTCCCCAGTGTGCCATTCCCAATAACAGAACCCTTGTTGCTCTCACCTGGGCCCTTGCATGTCCTTTTTCTATCCCTTGGTAAGAGTTGGGAAAGCAGGTGACCATTCCCTTAGTGACTTTTCCCAGAGTGCGCTGTGTGGAGCCCTCATTCCAAAACACACTCTGTGGGAAAAGAGCACAGATCACTCTGGGAGAAGCTGCCAAGCCCTTCCTGTCTTGTTGATTTATGGTGCATATTAAGAACATTTAAAGGTGTCTGAGAACAGTAGTACATGTGTGTAATCCTGGATATCAGAGGTTGAGGCAAGAAAATCAAAAGTTTGAGGACAGCTTGAGTAATTTAGTGAACAACATAAAAACAAACAAACAACCAACCAAAAAACTAAGTACATAGCTCAGTGGCAGAGCATTTAAACCCTAGGGCCAGAAAACAAAAACCAAAAATCAAGCCTAGAGTTAACATTTATTAAGGATCCATTATGTGCCCAAAACAGTGAGTGCTTTTAATCCTCTCTGTTAGTGCATTTAGTCTTCTCATTCTTTGTGGTGTGTGCCTTGGGAACATTGTCAATTTGAGAAGTCTTGCAGTAAAGAAACCTGTTGATCTTTAACCCAATGTTTCTCAATTTAGCCGGCTCCAGAAACCTTCCTGATGAATCCCTTTTAACACTCCTTGAGTGTTTACGGTGTGCCAGGCATTGTACTTTATATTAACTCATTTCATCCTCCTTACAATCCTATTGAAGACAGCTGCATAATTAATATCTTCTTATCTGCAGTTGTGAATGAAGCAACAAAGGCACAGAGGTTAAGTATCCTTTCCAAAGCCGCACAGCTACCAAGTAACACTCTGCCCTTCCAGGTGTGAATACCTGTGGCGCATTATGCAGGGCAACACAGGTTGGCAAGTGGGGCTTGGGTAAATGGAGGCAGGGCTATTTTCCTCCCCTGACGAATGACCTTTGTTGTTCTAAGTGCTCAGTTTCCATGTTCTCCTGAGACCTTCCATTCATCCGCTTTCCAGATGGAGCCAGGAAGTAAAAGGTGCCTGGTTTCCTCCTGCTGGGCAGGTGGGAGGCTTGTTGCTCTCTGCGATGGGTGGGCCTCTTGTTGGAAGCAGGGAGCTGCCAGCAGGGTGGGGTCGTAGACTTATAGCAGCAGGGTGCTGTCCAGAGCACCAGGACTTGCAGAAGACGCACTGGGGAGATTTAAACAATGAGGATGTCCAGGCTAGCTTCATCCTCAGCAGTTCCAGCTTAATGGACCCGGGATGGAGCCCAGATCATGTTTTGGAGCTCCCCAGACAGTCTTAATGTGAGCTGGGCTGGGAGCCACTGCAAGTTGAAGCTTCTCCCTTCAGAGGTGAGGAGCTTAGGGTGAAGGAGGCCGAACGGCTGCCCTGAGTCAAACCCACCCCACCCCAGGCATCGACGTCTGTACTCCTGGCTGAATCCTGATGCAAGGCCAGAGCAGAACAGAGCATGTGCAGC